CGGATGTTATAAATTAAACGGAGAAATCGGTTCGGGAAAAAAGAATCGACAAGAGAGCGTTAATGTATTCATCGGTTCGTTACGCTGAAATTATATATTTTTTAACCGCGTGTTACGCGGAAGTTTTTCCCTTCGAGAAACACGTTTTTGCGACGAACGACAAACGAATCGAAAAATTATTCGGGTGGGAAAAGAAAAGAGAGAAAGAAAAGAGGAAAGAAGGAAGCGAGCAAGCGAGCAAGGAGGAATTAAAAATAGACGACAAAAACCGCTATTTATGGCAGCCTAATTAATTCCTGCGTATTTTCGGCCACTTCTCATGCAAAAACATCACCACCATTCCTGCCTGTATACACGCGTGTCTTTATGGCTTCTCATGAGATATAAATGATCCGATAAAATGCTTAAGCGGTGTGGTGAACGGTGTGCCGCCGCCGATTCCGTGCTGCTGCCAGCACTGCTATTATTATAGAAAAATAAAAGTGTCGTGGGGCCGCGGGAGACACGTTGTTGCATCCTCTCTCGCCGGCCCCGATCTCATGAATATTCATAATTCGTGGTCGAAACGTTCTTAGAACGGTGTTGCCTTCTGATTTCGCTGTTTATTTTACGAAACTTGGGCCAGCCGCCCCCACCTCCCCCGATACACACCCCGCGATATCTCGATCTAACGTTTATGTACACGGTCCCAAGGGGGGAAGGTGGGAGGCTGCCAGACTGCGCTCGTTTATTTTTAATGAAACGCCAGTGGCCAACAAGGTGGAATATCCTTGGGGCGGATATTAAAGGCGGAGGGCAGACGCCGCGACGTTAATCAGACGAAATTTTCGCGATGGCCGTTCCCAACTATGGACATTGATTTATGCTCCGAACGGGATCCCCGAGAGATCGAGTTCCAGGATTGGTTGGGGTGGATTTCGATGGAATTTGATAAATTGGTATCGCGCACGGTTCCCGAAATTTACTTTGGCTAAGTATCCTAGGGTTTTTTTAAAGGTATACAGAGTCGCGTAGCTGGCGGATCGTTATTTCGAGTCAATTTGGAAATCGTTTCTCCGCTCCTAATTTTAACTTGTATAGGCTGGAATTTATTTTAAATTAGGGGATTTAAATTAGATTTTTAATTTTAATTCGGATTTTTCGTTCCAAAAAAAAAGGTATAATACCTTTTGCTTTATCGCATTATTTTAAATTTTGACAGTATAATTTACTTTCGAACGAATCAATTTTTTTCTATGCTAATTATTTACATTCGAAAGAAAGTGACTTTGGAGTAAGCTACAAAAGTGTCGAATTGTGCTAGGCATTGTATGGATTATTCCACCACCAAGCTTCAAAATGCCATCGAGCTCCTAACTTCAGTTCCAAGCAGCATTTCAGATGCCTTTCCGAGAACTTCTTCAAGAATTTCAACCGAGGAGAAGACAGCAGGATCTCTTCTTATCTCTTAATGATAACAACTTCCAAAGATTCGGAGTTAACATTTTACAGGTCTGAAATAAGTTTATCCTGGAGATTTAGAAAGATTTAGAATTTTAAACTTTCTCAATCCGGAACGACTCTTGAAGAAGCTAAATTAAATTAAATATATATATCATCACGAATGGATCACGTTCAATCTTTCACAACGTTCAAATATTACCACGTTTCGAAAGAACAACTCTTCGATCTCTTTCTTCGAAAGCTTGAAAAAGGAACTCGCAATCCTCATCCCCCTCACGTAATCCCCCTCTCAGGCCTGGGTATTCAGATTTCTCGGCACGATATTGACCGCGAGGCCGCGCGTAAATCGCGCGAACCGGGGCTCCCGAGGTCGAGGAATTAAGACTCTGTCCATCCTGATGGCGGCTTGTCACGCAGCGTAGCGCTGCCTCTCGAGAGAGAACGTTCTCACAATTATTGCCGGCTTTATTGCGTAACCACGTATCGGGCGGAGGGAAGGCGTAGGAGCGGCGGCGGCGGCGGAATCGCATAAAATTAGCATTTCCATCGGCGTACGCCGCTTCCCACGGTGCGGTACGCGCCGATCCCGACCGTATATATACGCGCGCTCGCTTGTCTGGGATTTTAACCTACGTGGAATAACAAGGAGCATCCACGAATCGCGTCCCTTCCTCGGAATCGTGAATCGAGAACTCGGAGGATCGGTCGGTTAGACGAGGCGAATCCTGCATCCGTGTCAGCCAGTACACGCACGAATCCCTAATGGGCTTAGGCCACGCCGGCAGATTAAAGGCCGCTGGATGCGCGTGGATCTCGCGTGGTTTCCTCTTAAGGTTTTGGTTAAATTATTTCGGATTTGCCTCGAGTGGTCGCCTCTACTCGGCCAGGTTTTTTTCGTTCCGTTGTGCACAAGTGTTGGAAATGCTATGCTAGGTTTTGAGGGTTATGGGTTGACATTGTTTTTATTTCCTTTTTCTCAGGAGTCAAGCATTGTGCGCGGAACAGGGATAATGGAAGAAATGAAGAAATTAGTAGATCAGATTTTTGGAATATCGATGGAAATGGAAAGGTTTATAGTTAATTATTCCTGTATCGAATCGTTGTAATTTTGAAAGAATTCGGTTTATTAAAAAGTCGTAAAGAAAGACGCTGATATATAATCTAGGGAAGAATGCAAATTCAATTTTTCGAAATCATGCATCGAATATTATCGAGAACTTGTTTCTTAATGCCCTATAATTTCGAAGCCATTTTCAAGTATAACGATACATTATACAGTTTAACAATATCTTTGCATTTTAAATAGACATTGTCATGTATAAAAATAATAATCCCTCGGTATTAATGAAACGTAAATAACAAATACCTCAACGACATAATTGAGTCAAATTCCTGCATAAAATACACGCTCTGAATCCCATACGAACATTATCAAAATGCCAACATAATATCGATTTATATTTAATATGATACGAATTCTATCTGTACTATTCCTATGCACAATGAAATTTCTATAGAACGTGAACGTTTTTAAGAGAAGACTCGAAAAATTCATCTCTTCTCAATAGATACAAAATAAAAAATCGTAAAAAAGTTAGGATAATTACAAATATATTTAAAATTTATTTATCGTTTCCTCTATATAAAATTTACATTCATTTACCCACATTATATCAATATAACAAAACTTTCACAGATAAATATAAAAATAATACTTATTTTTTGTTTATTTTTCGATGCAAAAAAATTCCACCAAAAATATCAAAAAAATCAAAGAAAGAAAAAAAAGAAACTACAATATTACTTTCCAACAAAAAAATTTATAACGAATGTACATAAAATTCCTTCATCCATCAGACACGATCGCGACGAATCATAAAAAAAAAATCATTAAAAAAAAGAATACAACGAAAAAAGGCATTTCATCGAAAAAGATCGTTTTTATATTTTCCAAAAAATATCGTATCCGCAACGATGAACAACGACCCAACAGAAAAAACCGCATTCTTCGAATCACGAAACTCCCAAACTCCCGTACGGTACGTTCAATCGTATCCTCGATGATAAACACCAACTGGTAACACATATACCAAATAATCAGAAGCAAACAGTCGAGCGATAAAACACGCCGCTTATCTGTACCAGCCACGCATAATCGTGCGCCTGAATTTTTCTCTCTCTCTCTCTCTCTCTCTCTCTCTCTCTCTCTCTCCCTTCTTTTTCCTTTTTCTTTTTCGCGCAACACGTGCGCCACGGGCTCGAGCCTCGCCGTTAATTTCGCAATAATTCGCGGTACACCGTACGGATTTACGAGCGTCCCCGCGACGAAGAAGTGTATTTACCTGCGGTTCCAGCCTCGCCTCGCTTACCTGTTACCTCTTCGCCTCTCACCTCACCGTAGGGACACGTGACACACGCGAGTGGCACGCGCGGCGCGCGCTCTCCTCTTCCAACGTGGCGGAGAACCAGTTTCTCCGTGGAATAGAAATAACGTCCTCTCCCCTCCACGACGTTTCGCTCCGCGGGAGAACTCTCCTCGTGCACGAGAACTCCTCCTTGCGATGACCCCTTGCGACCGCTGCGATTGGAATTCTAGCCAGTTTAATTGAACGAATTTCCTATTAACGATCGATATCTGGAACTGTGGCGCATTGTGAGGAAGCGCTGAACATGGAACAGGAGGGGAAACGGGGGGATATTGGAGAGATACGGGGAGTTCGTTCGTGTTGTGTTGATTTGGCACGTTTCAGCGTGAGGAGGAGGAGAAGGAAGAGGAGTCCGTGGGAGAATTGGTTTTAATGGTGCGTACTTTGGAGATAGTTTAGAAGATAGTTTAATGATGTTTTGAGGAAGTTTTGGGAAGTGAACGTTTTGAACGAGTAGATTTAAATTTGTGGATTAATTGTTAGGTTTTGTGGAAGAAGGATAAAATTTTGATTTAGTGTGCTCGATGCGAATGATCGAGTATTTATTTTCAACTTTTGAAAATATTTTGAACAATTCGATTCTTTGTGTTTCTTCGAGTATGATAATAAAATATGATTTTATTTTTGAGGAAATTTTGTGTAAGGAAATAATAGGGGAGTTTGAAGTAAATTAGAAATTTGTTAGATGCTAAGCATAAAATTTAAATTTCAAAGCGAAATTTCAAGTTCCGATCGAATCAGAATTTTAAATTTAAATTCGAGTTTGAATCGAGTTCGAAACTTGCAAAGCGAGCTTAAATCTCGAATTAAAATTCAATTGCGGATTAGGACGTCTTTTTCGTAAAGTTGATATTGAACATCGATCTCGTTCCATTCGATTTTCTTCACACACGGACAGGAAAATGAAAAACAAAAGAAAATATAAACGAAAATCAACGAGAATCAAATTTTCTTTAAGCTTATTCGTTTTTCGAAACAACTGTGCGATCATCAAGTGGCCATCGAAGATTTTCATAAGAATATCTCTCATTGTTCCTTCGCTTATGGAAAACACAATGGTGCCTCGAGAGTTTTTCAATGGGATACTTAAAAACAGCTACAAAGAAATTCTGCTTATTACATTTTCCTATATTGATGCTCGAATGAAAAAGATTCATCGGATCCTATTTTGAAAGCTGCAAAACTGCTGCTCCGTATTTATCGACGATCTCTCTCCGTGAAACCGTGCACAATCGGCTTACCTTTCTATTTTTTTTTTTTTTTAAATTCATGCACCATTTCCTTGTTTTTCAGCTTTTATGACGCATGGCACGCGATCCCTTCACCATTTTCGGCCTTTTCTGCGAAAAAATGAATAATAGAAGCGACTGTTCTCTCCTTCAAATTTAACTCTAGAGAGTAAAAAATTTTCAGAAAAAATAATGGAATAAAAAGATAAGAATGAAAAGAAAATATATAATAATTAAGAAATTATGAAAAGAAATTTTGTGAACTTATTAATAATATATAAAAAAGTAAAAAATTATCAATTTAAATTTAAAGAGAGATTATGGAAGAAGCAATAATTTATTATTATTTTCATTTGTTACATGGTATTCTATAATCGTTTACTCCTCATTCGTAACTGATTCTAATTTGAGTAACGGAATTATAGAATGAACAACGATCCCTTGAACCTATCAACGTTCGCTGAAAAGTAATAATAGTGATCACCGATTTCCTTGATTGATTTTTGATGGATTTTCTGATTGCCGTGCCCCCTTCTCGATCGATATCAATTCGTTTAAAATAATCTTCGTTTCTTTCCTTGCCTATATTCTTTCGAATATTGTTATATAAAGTTCATTATAAAACATTCGTACACTTCGAGATTGAGAATTATTATTGTTTAGTACCGTTCGACGTGGCCAATAAAGGAATATGGATGCTCGGTTTCGCCCATACTTTCACGTTGCATCAGAGATTCTCGATCAACCGAAATAAAAATCGTATAATTTTCTTGATGCAATCAAAATTACGAATCTACGTTCCTGCCTTAAGTGCATACGCGAATTTATGTTTCCTGTTTCAAAAGTATTTCTTTCTTTTTTTCGGTTACTTACTTAAAATGCTATTTAAATTGAAACTATAACCTGAAACCATTTCACTTTGATAAATTTATTCCGTGTTCTCTATCTGGTTACAAAGTGACGATGAAAGTAAAACAATATATCGTGTGGATAATGAATTTTATCTTAAGGTATTCGAAATATTTGCAGTGAATTATACCTGTATCCACAATTTTTAGAAATGATGAAAATATTTTGATAAATTTTAAATATAATACTTGAAAGATATATTTAAAATATATTAAATTACCAAATAGAATATTTCAATCAAAGAGTTTGAAATTTTTACAAATTAGAAGCATAAACGAACAATCGAGTAAATGATTTTCTTCAAACTTCTTTCGTTCCAATCGTAAAAAAATTATCAAATTCCTTCTCAAAACACACGGTACACAGATGAAACCGTTACAATTTCACGATCGGTTCCACGTGGGCGTAGTAATGACAATGCAAGAACGGATGCAAAACCGATGGCAACGCTTTCTCCTTCCTTTTACTTGACACTTTCTATCGACAAAGCGATTTGATTAGGCGTAACGGGAGAAAATGGTGAAGGGGAGGAAGAGAGAGAGAGAGAGATCTGGCTCTCTACGTGATCTCGAGTCGAACTATTATCAGATACGATATTATTACCGTTGAAACAATGGAACGGGCAACGATATTTAACAAAGTGAACCCGTTCAAGTATAACGAGACCACAAGCGTATCTCATCGTGTCCAATTAAAACCGGACCAGAGGCGAAATTAAAGATGCGTATCGGGTGGACATCTGTTTAACACCGCCAGATTAACACTTTCTCCTGGTAACGTCAATTAAACGATCGGCCCTACGATAAGTTGATTGGTAAATTCAGAAGTGACGAGTGCGGCGTATCGAGGCTGCTTCGATGATCGCGTACCTGAGACATTGATGAGGGAACGGGAAGATCGTGTTCTCGATATGTAAATAACGTTGTTGCTCCGTCTTTCACGTTGCCAATCTTAAATTCATTTCGAGAATAAATCCTTGGAAATAAATCCAAAGATTTATCGTTCTTTCTAAAACACGTTACGATTTTTTCGATAAATATCAATATATTGTAATATATTTCTTTCTCTTATAGCGATTATCTGATTCGCGTTTCGCGAGAATTCTTGGAAATGATTAGTCAAACTGTTTGCTTTTATAGAAAATGAGATGTGAAAAACATGAAAAATTTATTACATAATAAAGGATACGCGCAAATACATTTTGCATCGCTGCGTACAATAAAGTTTCCAGGAAATAATTTACTCGGTTAATTCCCTTGTTACGTACCACAAATTTTCCGCGAAGATTCACGAGCGACCAGTTCCAAGACCAGTCCACTCCGCAACTTCGAAAGCACCCATCTGACGCTAAACAGATCGCACGCTACGATCGCTTCACATGTTCGCAACGTGACAACGTGGAAACGTCCGCTTATGAAATATTGCAAATGAACCTCTGACCAACGGACTACCGATACCTCCTCCTTTAATTATCAGGAAATCGATTCTCGTTAGCGCGAGAATACACTTAGCAGCGAATACACTTTCCAGTATAAATTATTTGCCCAACGAACTCTTTCCATTCTATTCGCTACACAGTGTTTTTTAATTACGCTTGTGTGCATAGGTTTAATTAAGGAGCCGGTCACGTGGACCCGCGTGTATTTTGATTAATAGTCCTCGTGGCAAAGGTCCTGGTCCCGTGCATCGATTTCGTGCCTGTTCGACCGTTCGGCCAACCATCAATTTTCGTACTTCCGGCCCACGGAAACTCGCAATTACACGAATTATCGAATATACCGAGGATCAGATTTTGATAGAGGTCGCCACCTTCGATTACGTGGCCCCACTTTACCCAACTTCGTAGCCCTGTTTTCCTCGTGAAGAACACCACGTCGTGCTCACGTCGATTAATACACTGGCCTCGTAACGAGCTCTACCTTATTATTATTAACGGTTTCTGCACTGTGTATCCTTCGTTCCGTAACCAGACAACGCTGTATTGTATTGTTTGATATCGTTACGAATGTGTCTTGTTGTGTCTGGCGCGGAACGTAGATTGACGAGAGGTTAAATTGATTCTCGTGACGACGCGAGATTAAATTCTCTGCTAGGGATTGATTCATTCGAGGGATTTTTGGAAAAATCGATTCCAGACGCCTGTAGACATATGCGTACATCCGGATAAATAGAAGCGAGGTTTCCACAGGTCATCGTGGAAACCGATAGAAAAAGTAGCTGTACACCAAACTGTCAAAGCCTTCTTCCTCTCCACACGGTGATTAATCGAGATTCCCCCGGTCGTCAGAGGAGGGGTAGTAATCCTTAATGGATCGACCGTCAGTTCAGCTGAAAGGCGAAAAGCGACGAGGGGCCAGGACGTGCGTGGGAGCCAAAAAAAGAAGAAGAAGAATAAAGAAAGGGTAGTGCGCGACCCAATTCCCGGTGTATCGGTAATTTAAGATCGATAAACCTCGATCTATCGGCGCGATCCGGTTACCGGGGCGCGGGCGATTAAAAAGTGTATAGCCGTCCACGGGATAATCCCTTCTCCCCTTCTTCTTTCGTGGAAATAATACGTGGAATCGGCGGAACACGAGAGCCTCGATGGAATATTAAGTTTCCTGGATCCTTGGTGTGTACTTGATATTCGGTAAAAGAAGAAAAAAGTGGATTAAAAATATCGCGTTCCGCGGGACATTACACCGTAAAGGGCAGAACGCGCAACGAAACTGTCCACCGCGCATTCGCCAGGCCAATCTTTACTCGGATCCCGATGGTCAAAAAGTGTTCGAAATCCTCTTTGCGAGCTTTTTCACGGTTTTACGTTTCATAAACACGACGGCGCGAGTCGGAGGGGAGGGAAGGAGGGTTATGCGGCGAGGGGGTTGAAGGAGGGACAAAGATGAGGAGGCGAAGGAAAGGGCTTATCATATTTTCGTGCTACGCCCGACAAATCCCTAAATCTTGTTTACAAGCAAATTCCACAATACCGGGGGTATAAGGGATTTAATGCCGACTCGTGGCCGATCTTCGCGAAAGCCTCCTTTAAAGTGTAATTTACTACGAAAGGATTATTCGCCGGACCCTGGATCGGACAGGGGAGAGAGAGAGAGAGAGAGAGAGAGAGATGCCTTTTGTCCAGGGACGTCTGCCAAACTCGTTCTTTACGCGGTCACAAAAGCGCGAATTATTCCCACACGACGTGTATCGCTCTCCAGCTTAAGCTGTTCGAGTCGTCCCCGCGAGTGCATAGACATAGAACAGAACGGAATTCGGGTTTTGTGCGAGTCCGGTTTTTGTTCGGGGATAGGGAAAGCATGGAAGAGACTTCGAATCAGTTTTCCTCGGTGCTTTTTTCATCAGGAAGGCAGTTTGTGATGAGAGGATCAAAAAGTTTGGTAACTGGTGATACGAGTGTAGTGAAAAGTGAAGGTAGATAGTCAAAACAGGGAGAAATATTAATAATTTGCTAAGAATCTGCGAGTTTGAGAAAAAATAATATGATGAATTTTAAAGTTCAGAGGAGACTGAAGACTTTTGTTTGCTTTTTCGGGGCATATTGCACGGCCATGTTGCAATAGGTTAACTTGCTTGGAACGAGGTAGAAGCTATTTTTTCGATAAATCGAGTTGGTTTCGACGTGGGTTGAGATTGGTTGGTTCGGAGATGGCCCCTTCTTTCTTCTCTCAGCGGGGTGTATTCTGGCCAGCGAAGCGTCTTCTAACAGGATTACTATGACGCGATGGGTTTAAGACCTTTGCTCCTAGAATTTAGGATTCTTGCTCCAAATAAAAAACATATAAAAATAATCAAATAATCTAAATTTAAGTAACATTAAAAAGATATATTTAAATAATTAAATTTAATTTAATTTTTCAAAGATTTTTAAACAGAGTTTCATTCGAAAATTTCCAGAAAGATTTTCAGAAATTTTTCTCTCCTAAATTAAAATATTCTCCAATGAACGGATCGTAGGCCAATATTTACAAGTTCATAACGAAAAACCACGTTGCACATCATCAGGGTGCTTTAAAAAGATTCCCAGAATAATTTCTTCGTTTTTCTTCATGACTTGGGTAATTTATTCTTTGAATTCAGTGTATTAAAAGTTTCCCCCGCGCGCAACGATATTCGAATTCACGCCATTACTTCGACGCAAGCCGAGTTCGAACGCCCATCGTCTCTTGGAGAGGAACACGCTTGATTTAGTCGTGTCAAAAGACACCGATGATAAATCCAACACGATTTTTCAGTCTTACCAACGCGTTGATAGGGGATGACGGTTTTCCATGAACGAAGCTTGTCGACTGTTATTCGAGACACCAGACATCGACCACCCCATTTGTCCGATCCCCCTTGGCCCATTTATAAGAAGGGTTGAACGCGTTTATAAATACACCGGAAATTGTCAGCAGTTTATCCACGTTCTCGACACCTTTTTAATACAATCTCGATGTAATAGAGGCGGTTTGTTGTATTTATGATATATAGACGCAGATTTATGTACAGCTAAATTTGGTATTATATATAAATCCGATTTTTCCCAATTTGCTACGAAGGTTATCCAGAGATTATGGCGATACTAGCGCCACGTTATTAACTATTATTACACGATACATTCTTACATTTTATTTATCCTCGCTTTCTTAGTTTCAAAATATTTGAATTATTATATTTTTCTCTTAATAATATCAATAATTCTTAACGTGTGAAGCTTTTATTTAAAGGATCATCGACATCAAATTGATTGTCTTCTCAGAAAAGAAGAAATTCACAGAATTTCTACGTATATGAATCGCGAATATTTTTCTAAAGAGATATCCAAATACAAAAATATTTTTCGCGACCCAAACGAGCGTTCGAAAAATTTAACGAGCCGTGTTGTAACGTCGGTTCGCCCTATTAGACCGGATTTCGAGTTTTCCAGCGGCGTGTGACTCCGCCACCCACGCATTCAGGGCGCAGAAAACGGGCCTTCGTTTTTCCTCGGCCGTCTCTCTTCTCTCTCTCGGTAAAAATTGCACAATGTCCCGGTATGAGGTCCGAAAGGTGTTCCATTCACAATGGAGGGAAACGCGGG